TCTGTTTCTTCATCTTTGAGGCCGAGACCGCCAGCTAGGAACACCACAGTAAAGCTTATTCAGCATCCTCTACCTTGCTAAGCTACCATTGACGAAATTGAGACCACCACTGTTGACGCCGAGACCACCATTGTTAACGCCCACAACCATCAAGCTTCTTCAGCCTCCTCCGCTATTTTTACTGAGAGAGAGAGAGAGAGAGAGAGAGAGAGAGAGAGACGGAGACACCGCTCTATAACACCATTCTTCTCCGTCCCTGCTCCTTAGGTCTGTAAATAAAACAAAAATCAATTACAAGTAAATAGGAAGATGAAATGAAAGAGAGAACAGATAAGACAAATGGGAAGTGACTTTACATGTCGTAGTTGTGAGGAGGTCAAACGATTCTTCATCCTCACCTCGATGGACAAGCTATGGTGGTGACAAAGCTATGGCTGTAACGATGACGAGATGTGGTGGAGACGAAGACGAGATCTGGTGGTGACAAAAGTTTAATGGTGATGAAGAAAGCGATTAGAGAGACAAGATCTATGAGATTAGGGAGCATGAGATTAACGAAGAAAAAGGAGATAGAGAAAGCGGCATCTATGGTGTTGGTGATTGTGAAAGATTTTGTTTTTTTTTTTTTTTTTTTTTGATTGTCTCCTTCCTTTGTCCTTTCTCCTTTTTCTTATAGTATAGAGAGTTCATCTTTATACAAACTAGGAGCGTAGCCCCGTGCAAGCGCGGAGATGTTAACATTTAGGTGTGCTATAATACTTTAAAAATGTTATAGGAGGTGTTGTGGAGGGTCTCGCTAAAACATGATGGATGGTTTGTAATTCCAATGGTGATTCTCTTTCGGGGCAGTTTGTGTGTGGGGATGGCATCTTCTGCATTGGAGGCTAAAATAGTTGCATTACTTGCTGTACAACTATGATATCTAATAGGTTTTACTTTCTTCTTTGGTCAATGGTTATTGTAATAATTTACTAATCTATCGCTTTTATTTTTGATCTATGTTTTGCTACTTTAGTAGAGTGAGATATTAAAAAGAATATAAGAAGCTAAGGATAGCTATTTATACGGTAAGGTAGTTTATATAAGTATATATATGTGTGTTTATGAAAATATGGGAGCGTGTCTTTTAAAAAAATATTTTTTACAAGTGAAATATATGTTAGAAATCCATAGAAGATGGAAGAATGGATTCAGAATAATATCAATGTCTGCGACAGCTGATCAAGCTGCTCTCATATTGAGTACTAGGATAAGACACGCGCCTTGCGCGGGATGAAACTATTATTTTATTATGTTTTTAAAAATGAAACAATAGTTCGGTTTCATTCGGATTAGAGGTGTTCAATCCGGATATCGGGTTTCGGTTCGGTTCGATTTTTTGGTATTTCGATCATTAAAATATAACTATTATTCTAAATTTATATGTACTTCAGTTTGATTTGGTTTATATACCATTAGTTTTCAGTTTATTCAATTTTATACCAAATACATAATTATTTAGTTTGAGATCATATTATATATTATACAAATATATAATATGATCATATTTAGAGTCATATTGTCACAGAGTCATTTATTAAAAAAATATTATATATTTAAATAAAAGAATAAAAAAACAAAAAGGCTTCTATCATCTAATAAAATGATCAAATCTAGAATTAATATCAAAACACTAAATTTTGAAAATAAAAATAAAAAAACAAAACAGAAGCATGAAAGAAAAGTTTTATATTCTTCCATATTTAGTGTTCATCAAATCAATATATGTCTTCGATTGAACACAACTCTGTTTGTTTAAAGATAAAAAAAAGTTGTAAAGAATTTCAACTAATTGTTGTCCATCAAATTTATAATCTTTACTTCAATTTAGTTATTGTTAAAAAACAAAAGATCAAAATAAGAAGTCTTAGTTGTAATAAATTGTTAGCTATTTACAAATTATAATTATAGTTCAACTCATATAACAAATAGATATTCATGCGTCGCTATAAATATATACATATTTACATGTTTCAGTTTAAACGATTATAAATCAAACCATATCCAAATCCTATGGTTTTTATAAAATCACATCTATTCAGTTTGTATGGTATATACCAAAAAATAACCATATTATCGATTGTTAATATCTTTTAAAAATATAAAATTAAAAAAAGAACTAAGATATTTAAATCATTGATAACAAAAAAATTCAATGTGAAAAATTTAATAAGTTTATAATTTATAAATGTTCTTGAAAATTTATTGAAAATTTTGAAATTAAAATATTTATGTAATCTTATATGGTATATAGTTTAATATGTATATATATTTTTTTATTATTATTGAATGATACTTTTTACTTATATGGTTTTAAAATCATGTATATTTTTTTATAATAAAATGTTAAACTATTGATCATTAATTTTTAACATAATAATTTTAATAGTTTAGTTATTTATTCTCGTTTCTTAAAATTCAAAATATAACCTATACGAAAAAATCTAAAGTTTAATTTTATAGCTAATTTGATTGTTTAATTTATTTTAATAATATAAAATTAAAGAAAAATGATGGAGGATATATAAA